CACTTTCTCATTAAAAAAACAAGAAACTAACCAATGCAGGGCAAGGCCACAAGCAGGATTCTGCTGCTGCCTTGCCCACAATGAATATGGTTGAGGCAGTGCAGCACCTATGCAGATCACGTCCCTCAAAGGAGCCTCAGTTAACCTTAGTGCTATGATTAAAGGCATCTTCACTGAAAATCCACCTACCCCTAACTGGACAGGTAGGCAAAGAGGATACTTAAGAGCTGGATAACAGAAAAGAGCCTGAAAAGAATTTTGTTTCCTTAGACAGATGAGGCTGCTGCACACACAAGCCTTACCTGGAGGAAGCAAAGATCCCCAAATAACCTTTGATTTCCACAGGCTCACAAACGTGATATCATAGCTTTGAGGCTTTGTACCAATTCTGTGTTTTGGTGCTGTGTTATGCTACAACATCACAGTAACACCACAGTGCAAACGCTACATTTGCTTAACAGACCACTGCCTGGAATTTAGGCACACTCCATCCGGAATCGCGCTGTTCCTCTGCTGACTGTTTGGCACAGCACATGCCATGTGTACACATGAAAAGGAGGCCAAGGGAAAGCCAAGTGGTAATGAGAACTGGCAGCGAAGAAACTGATTATTTATCAGTTCTAGCCAGATTAAAAAGACTTAAAGTGAAAAAATAAAAATATTTCCATATGGCACAAGTGTTCTAACATGAGACAATCTGCAAAGTGAAGATAAACTACTGCCTTCTGATATTTTCTATTAATAACTGAATTGAGGCATTTCCTGTCACGGCACTTAATGCAGTGTGTTGAACAGACAGATGCAGTACATACCATGAAACATCGGAGTTTTCAGATTCATCTGCCTGAAGTTATAGGATTGTTTAACACTAGAACTGCAACAGATTTCCACTTATACCTTTCTAACTTAAAAACATCACGACTCTGATTCAAAGTCCTTAATATATGCTTATAAATTCTATGCTTTCTGTGGCATACAAGCATATGCTTCTCTGTACAAGGATGGGATTATTTCCAAGCTAAGTGTAATCACGCACTGTAGGAATCTGCCTGATTTTGGTCTAGAAAAACTTCTGTTCAGCAGACTTATATATAAGGAAGCAGACATTTTTTCTTACAGTTAGCTGAGTCCAGTTCATTTACCTTAAAAGAACTCTAAACATGTTTTTGGCAAACATAGGAACTAGAAAAGCAGCTTTAACCCTGCCTTTTTGTATCAGCGCGAGTTCAGGAATATTTTTATACTTTCTGCTTCGTCAAGCATTTTGTACAAGCTTTTTCTTTTCTTTAATTCATTCCAAGAAGTTCTACTCCAAATATTTTTTCCATATCTAGCCACAATATGTTGTTTCTTTTCTAAGAATAAACAGTAATTCAGTTTACAAAAATGTCAAACTCTTTGATGTGAATGTATCTTTATATAGTAAAAGCATCCAAAGCTGCCTTGTCTGGTATGTAGTTATAAAGGGGCAGCCTTGTTAGGCAGGAACCTATAAAGTCCAATTTCCCTACATGCCTGACTGGTCACACAGAAATTCCCAGTATGAACCACAAGATTATTTATCCTTTGCTTCTCTTTTTATTTATTTTTAATTGTACTAAATGAGAACTTATATCTTTGACTCCCAATATACTTAATACACTTGCTTAGGCGAAAGAATCCTGACGATACCATATCAAACCCGCATCTTCAGCAGTCGTCAGAGGATTCAGGCATTAGAGTATTAGAAGTTGTAGCGTTTTATGAGATGGGGGAAGGATCTTTCAAATTACCTGTCAATTTCAAGAAAAGAATAACAATCCAAGAAGTTGGTACCATTTGATACTGCGTTACTGATTGTGTCTGATGGCAAAGATTAAATTATGTTCATATTGAAACCTGTTTGCATCAATTGCAAACTGGTAGCAATTAATCTTAAAAAGCTTGATGCACCTCTGAATTCAGAAGAGCGTTGCAGATTTCCCCTCAGAGCAATAAAAATGTTATGACTTAAAAACTTAATCATTTATTTTAATGCTATTAAGTATTTGGTACACACCATAGCCTAACAAATGGTCCAAAAAACCTAACAGCAGGTACACTGTAGACTATTTACATGTTCATAGGTATTCTCTGCTGACAATTACCAGATTTAGAACAAAGTATTTAACCTACTCAAGGAAATAAAGGAAAACTGTACCAAATACTATTGAGAGTCTTAGTAGTACGTTTTTGCCTTAAGGCAAAATTGTTACTGAAAATATTTTGCTAAAAAACAACAAATTCAGAACAAAACAGCCAACAAGAACAGACAAATATGCCAAAGCTTTCAGTATTATTTAGAGAGACGCAGTACAGTCCTTGAAGAGGGAATTCACAAGCAATTTCTTAATAAACAAGAGGCATACACAAAGATACCAAAGCCTGCTGTCTCATTTCTTGCAGAATGCCTAGGGACACAACCATATAGGTACAGAAAATTATCCCAATTCTTAGATTGGGATTCAGTCACCTGAAGAACTTAGACATGTAATAAATTGATTTTAGTGTACACAACTTTTAAAGGGTATGTAACATACTGTTGCCTATTGTTCAGAAACGCCAAGCTGGCTTAACAAGCTAACAGGTTGCTAAAGCAAACTACAGCAGAAAAGATAATTTTTAATCCTAAGAACAGCACAGTTCTAACATTTTACTTAAGCACAGCTTACTAGTGCAGGTATGGCTTACTTTTCTTTCCTAGAACCACACCTTCCTGCTTGAATATATGTATGTCTTTACAGACTCTAAAGGAATTTCAGAAATTTCATGCTCTCTCATCTGGAAGAAAACATAGAAGACACTGTATTTCTGCACTGAAGTCAGTAAATTCTGACAATAGAGACATGGGCCTTGGCTCTGTAACATTTTGGAAGCAGTTTGGTCTATGTGATAAATGGAAGCATGCCACTGTACCCTACCAGTCAGAGAAGCCTAAAAGGAAAAAGCATGGAAGTGCAACACATTTAAATCATAGAGCTCTCTTCCTCTTATGTGTGAGGGGTTTCTGTTTTGTTTTGTTTTTGCTTTTTTTTATTTTTTTTTAGGCTAATATGCACGTGTTTAACATCTGACCAAATTCTTTGTTAAGATTCTAGAATCAAAGGCAAAGCAAGAAGTTTGGACAAGTGTTTTTAAATAAACAACCTGCACATGCCCAACTTCTTGCACTGCATGACTTCTTGAAGCCAGGAAAAATTATGCATTCCTCTGCACAGATCACAAACACCACAACATGTGGGAATATAAACAAATTCTACTGGGTGATTCCATGAACTATCAGGAGCAAGATTCCATTTCATTTTTTGAACATGGGCTCCTTAAAATGTATAAATGGAACTAGTTTATAATGGAACTAGTTTAACAACTCAATGCAATATTGAGTGTAGGTAACTGTATGGCTATAGCTATGTGCCTCCACCCTGCAACTGCATGCATATAAAATATATAAACAGAGGGATACCTGCATACAAACATAATATAAACCTATACACAGCATGCCAATGTCAAACATTTGAAAGACTGTGATTCAGGGCCATGAATTGCTTCTTAGAATGCACTTGATATTTTCATTCAGAAGAAAATGATAGTGAAAATAATGAAAAGAAGAAAAGAAAATGAAAATGATTCTCCAGTAGCATAATACTGGAGAAAAGAAACTAAAACTTTCCAAATGTTTTAGGAAAATCTTTGGATAAAATTACAAACTCTAAGATTATAACACTTGTGTAGCTAAGCGTTAGGTTGTCTTCTGGACCAGGGACAACACTCGATTTTTCCTGTTCAGGTGACAGTAGTTAAATTTCATGGGATGGTTTAATTCATGATAATCTCTTGAGCCAATCTCTGCTAAGAAAAAGCCCAGACCTAATGCTTCTGTAGAAGGCAGTGAGAAGCAACATTTGAAATAGCTGCAAAAGCCTACAGACACATTTATGGAACAAATTCCAAAATGCCATCTTACAGTCCAGCTAAGGTCAAAATACACAACAAAATTCTGAGGGTGGTGACAATCAGCATATGGAAAAAATTTCATTTCTATTTTTGTTGGACTGATATAGTAGTTTGAAAAGGAAGTTAAAAATCAGAATCACTGATGCCATCTGAAGAGAGGCATATAAGTGGAGGGAATTATTTTAAAAAGTACATTGTCTTGCATATTTTATACTTGTATATTTCTATTTGCCATAACTTTTGAGTGCAGCAAATTTAAATATAATTCAGCTATAAAAGATGGCATGGTCTTAGGAACTTCACTTATTTCAGATCACTTGTGTCTATCATGATATATAATTCTGTCATTCTGAGAGGCATACTGAACAAATTCAATATACTCTATTTCAAAACTGTACATATGATTGTATCTCAAAATTGAGTTTTTAAAATACTTTTTTCAAGTAGCTTTAAAATACCTCAGTGCCAGCCATTTTACACAGAAAACAGAAATGAAATATTAATCCAGTACTCCAAAATTCACATTATTTACGTTATGCAAAAAACAGCTGTTAAGAGCTCCAATTCTTAACACAAGTTATTCTTCTTGCAAAATTGAAGCGAACTCCTTTGAGATGATCAAAAAGTTACACCACAAAGGTAAAAAGCCCTTCACTGAACTTGCCACAATCACGTTACTAAAATATCTGATGCATCATTGCATCGGTGCCATTGACCACTTGAAAGACTGGTTGATCATATAAATTTATGTACAACTTGCCAAGGAAGGACATTCAGAATGGAATGGAAACACAGAGTTTACTTGAATGTTCTAATAGTGAAAAATCATTTTACTCTTCAGCTTTCACCTCTTTTTGTTTGTGAACATAATGTCCCTGTGTCTATACAGGATTACATTGCGTAATGATTTCCTATTGACCAGTTAACTGTGGCTCAGAACAAGTCAAGGTCGTATATTTTTACGCCAAGCCACAGCTATATCCCTGAAGTGCTCCATCAGTCACGTAAAATCAGAATATTGCTGATACCTTGTTAATGAAGAATTTGCTTCAAATCAATGCAGTCCTCTGATAGGCTCCTACTGGAATACACAAGAACTGAAAAAAAAAGAAAAAAAAGAAATTGAAACTTTATGGTTCAAAAAACCTTATCGTTTTTTTCCAGTAGTTTAATTCATAACCAAAATATATCTTTCCCAGGTTCATAGAATGATAGAATTGCTGGGTCGAAAAAGACCTTAAAGATCATTGAGTCCAAGCTAACCACACTACCCTAACTCTAACAACCCTTCACTAAATGATGTCCCTGAGCACCACATCCAAATGGCTTTTAAACACATCCAGGGATGGTGACTCAACCACCTCCCTGGGGAGCCTATTCCAGTGCTTAACAACCCTTTCTGTAAAGAAGTTTTTTCTGACATCCAACCTAAACTTCCCCTGATTGTAATAGCTAAGTATAATTTGGGACAGCCTTGACCAGTCCATAGATGAGTATACCCAAGTGCATAATACAACGTGCACTTACTGCTTCCAGTGAAAATTAACGATGATATTTACATATACCCAAAGAAAAACCAGATGTAAATGATATATTTGTATAAGCAAATTGGCCAGCATATCAGAAGTAATGTATGCAATTATTATCATATATGTGAAATGGTCTGTATAATTACAGACCATTCAAACATTCAAAATGTTTGAAAACACAGCCTGTATCTTGATAAATGTTCTGTATGCCTCTGTGCAAGCTACTACTCAACTTGACCTCAAGCGTAGGTCTTTTCAGATCTTAGCCATGTCTTTATATTCACTAGTCCACCTGTCATGAATTTTGCCTGCCAGCCATTGTTCACAGATGCTCATCAGACAAGCTTATTTGTATTTAGTTATGGGGTGCTACTTGTTCAGCAGCTGCCCTCAGTGAGAAGTTTTTTAATAGCGGCTGTTGGGCACTGATGATATTAAGCTGATGATATTATTTCTAAGGGAAATAACATTCTTGATGGAAAAAAAAAAAAAAAGAAAAAAAGAAAAAAAAAAAAAGTGTGGTTTCAGCTTTAGAGATCTTAGTTCTCACATTTTTCTTGTGCTAAGGGTGTGATCTTAGGAACACTAATACAGTTTCTTAAAAAAAAAAAAAAAAGAAAAAGACTGCAGTTCTTTTTTTTTTTTTTTTCTTTCTTTTAAATAAAAGACTATTACTATCTTCTGAGGCACACTTTCATAATATCAGCAACTTCAATGCTACTTATTTTGTGTTTTCAACTTAAAAAGTAGATTTATATCCTTCTCTTTAATAAAAGTTGTGGTTCTTTCTTCACTCAAATTCTCTTTAAAGATCAATGCAATGTAATATCCTGTAGATCAGCCTTAAAGTAACTATACAAGGTCTGTAACTCAGAACAATGACCAACTTGTGGATCACAGCTAACTGACATTTGCTACAAAGTGGATGCCTTTCAGTTGAGAGGTACATTAGAAATGAACTCTTTTGAGAAATGCTGAAAGAGATGAATGCCTTATCATCAGCTGTTCACAAGAAGGAATTGGGAAATAGATAACAAACATACTTGAAACAGAGAAAATCTCCTATATGAGATTCGCTTTGGTAAATCTGAAAGAGAATGGAATCTGGTTGTATATAGCTCTAGGCAATCAGCAGCTCCAAAAGTGAGGTAGTTTCTAATGCAAGAAGAAATCCTAAGTTTTGAGGAGTCTCCTAATAGGTTCTTCACTCCAAAACTGGAGATGGTGGACAAAAATCTTCAAAGTTCAATGTCTACCTTCTAAATATAATTGCTGCCCTTACTTGTAAAAGGCAATAGGTTTTGTACTGACCTGTTTGACTGAACTTAAAACACTGACAAACTAACAAAAATTCCTTTTCCTCCATGTAGTTATGTAATTCAATCCTATGTATGATGCCAGGAACCAAGAAATATTTGCCTAGACTAGGTAGATTCAGCAATCTCCTCAGTAACTGTTGATTTATACAATTCTGTCCCAGATACAAAAGTTTCCATGCACAAATCTCTAGGCCCACTACTAGCAGTCATGCAGTTTCTGCATTTTCTGAATTTGCCTCCTATAAAAACATCAAAAGCCTATTCTGAGCATCATCAATGTTAAGTTACAAGACATATTCTTGCTATATCTCAGGTAAAGTTGGTCAAATAGAATAACATTCATACAAAACTTAATAAAAAACATTCCCATTCTGTAATGAAACATTTTTTGAAAACTCTTTGTTTTCAAAGGCCACAGAATTCCCCACTCCCTTATTTTCCTTTAGCAATTACCTTATCTGGTCTGGTATCATTCTGACGTCCTCATGTCACTAGCTTAGAGCGCTAGGAGAGTTAATACAGTTAATTAGAAAGCACTCAGGAACCATGCTCAACAGGATGAAAAGCACCACACAAAAACCCTGCACTGATTCTCCTGAGAATCTGGAACCAGCTTTTTTTTTATTATTATTATTATGAAGACCCCTCAGTGACAACACTGCCAAGTACTTCTAGTCTGGCTTGCTTACAATTGCCTCATGCTAATACTATGCCTGTCCTTGTGCTAAAATAGTTACCAGATTACATGCATTTGGGAGATATGAGTGCAGACAGCTAGCCTGCTGTAACAAACAGACCACACAAAGCATTTAACCAGAGAGAGAACACCTAAGGGTCTGCATGCATTTGTTCCATCCAAAGATAGTGCTTGTATTACAGCACCCTTATTAAACCTGAATACCTGCAATCTCTTGTCAGTTGTTATAATGCTGAACAACATGGGCCATTGACAAACATAGAAGTTACTCAGAGAAGATTTTAACAGCCAGCACTTCAGGATCTCATGCATGGATGCTCTAATTTTCGAGCTCATCACTTTACTAGCAGGGATGAAATTACTCTGTTATGTTCTTAATGTCTAAGAGATGGAAATTCAGATGTCATTAACATACTGCACACACAGCAATCTGCGCACTCACAAACACTATTTGTTCTCCTTTTGCTCCTCAGTTTCAGAGGGACAAAACTGCTTTCTACAGTGGTATTCCATGCACCATTTTAAATCTCATTGGCAAATACTTGACTCATTTCCAACACTTCCATTTACATTTAAACTTTGAACGGATGCCACAGACTTCAATTCTTAATTTTATCTTCATTAGTTTGCAAAGATATTTTCTTTGAGGTTTGGAGACAATCACAGAAATTAATTTCCCTTGAGCACTGCTTCATGGGTTTTAGCGAATGCTGGCCCTAATTTTGACATTTGTCATTAGAAAGAAGTCACTGTGCCCTATGTTGAATCTGGAGATACTATTCTGGAATCGACACCCCTTCCCTCCCCTACACACAAAAATATGATTGCAGTTCCTCCCTCTGAATCCTGAAATGAAAATGAAGCCTCAGCATACATCTAGAAAATGTTACATAGTAATGAGCAACTCCAGACCACCACTGGCTGATAAGTCTTTTCATTCACCTTGATTGTATCATTCTTGTTTGGTTTGTTATCATGGACTACTATACCAGAACACTAAAGATGCAGTGCACAAGATCGTCACATGTAAAACACATCATATCACTTGTCACATTTAATGAATACAGGTATTAAAGTTGATAAGTGAAACTTTAGAACGTTTCAGGAGGCATAATATTCCCAGGCAATTTATCACTTTAAAAGGGTAGTCTTTAATATAAATTTTGATTCCTGTGTATAAGGACAATGGAAAAGTGGCATGGTAAGTAGATAAAATTTCTATTTAGAAAAAAACATTCCACAAGAAAAAAATCTCTGTGCAGGTTTATTCAACCATGCATGCCTCATGTTTTTACTACAGCACATTACCCACAAACAATTTCTCCATCACTGAATACACTCAATTCATCAGTGCTTAATAAATATTTGAGCCTAATTGAACTTAATGACTTTGTCAGCCTTTGAGATGGCACTGCAGACCAGCAAGAGGCTTTTTTCCTCTTGTTTTTCGACTTTTTTTAGTGCACCGCTTGATTTAAAACCAAAATTCTGAAGACATGCTTAAGGATAAGTGAAAATGGAAAAAATCTGTTTTCACTATCAAGAAATACCAAAAGGGGCAAGTTAGTTATGCAAACCACGTTGCTCTCAAGAAGACTTCATTAGATACATCCCAGCTACCAAAAAATTCTGATAATTAAAAGCAGCTCAGCATCCGTGGGCTACTTGAAATGAAATCCAGGTATTCATACTGTATTCTATGTATTCTATAATTGATTATGCATTTGCAATTGAAGAGATACCTTATTTTTGTTGTTTCGTCAGAGATTATGGATACCTTTCCTGCTTTAAGAAACAGCCACTCTTTTTCAAATGCTGGGTTGGATTTGTCTGACCACAGCTTATTACCAAGCTATCAAAAAAACAAGAACAAAAAACAAACAAACAAACAAAAAAAAACCAAAAAACAAAACAAACAAACAAACAAAAACAACCCAAAAACCTGGCATCTTAATTGTCTGCCCCAGAACAGAAGGGTTTTGCATGCTTCCCTTGATTCAGTTTCCCCTGACACCCACTCCACAGCAGCTTCATGTCAAGAGAAACAAATACCACATACTCCAACTTCTGGTGCTACTCGAGAGAACTTTTATCTTGAGGACTTTTCTGGTACCATTTGATATCAGCTCTGTTTCATTTGAAACATCTATGCAAAGCTTGAAAATATATTCCAATAGTCCCATTCTCAGAAATTAGGCTAGTTCCAGAGACAGAATGTTTCATATTTCATCTTAATTTCATTTTAAAGGATTTTATTTTGAAGTATTTAACTACCTTCTGTTAAATGGCTGATAGTGGCAATACTGCTGAAATGTGCTGTTTCTGGAATTGCTATATGCATGCAATAAAATAAATTAAAACTACTGTAGATGCCTGATGAAACAACTGAAAATGTTTAGATTAAATTTGTTTTAAGTACCTATTTTTTGCTAGAATTGCCTTACATAAATGATTTAGACTAATTTTCATCTATCAGCTTTGCTTGATGGAAGAACGTTGCCTCTGACTTTCTTCCTTGACTGGTTTGTATTTTCTTTTGTCATTGCTCGCAT